GCTGTATGCAAAACAATGCAAATCTGTCTCTGACTGTAAAATAAAATTACATAAATTATGTAATTGTAATTGAAAGTTAGCCATGGTACCCAGCATAAGGGAATAAAAGTTCAAACGTGTGTGTGTGTGTTTGTGTGTGTGTTTTGTTTTTAACTACCTGCTGACAACGTTTCTGCCTGTGAAAGATGGTCCTTCTGGCGTTTGCCTACCACAGTAATGTACTTGTCCGTTTTCTTACAAATTATGCACAAGGCAGGAAGCACAGGACCAGCACAAGCTACTGGCAGGCCTAAGTTTCGTTATTGGACAATCAACTGTAGCGATACTAACGTTACTACCCGATGGCACAGACTGGCCTTGATCTTGAGCTTCAGGACGCTGTGTGGCCCGTTTCTCGGCCGCATCCAAACGCTTTTTGTCAATGAAACGCCTGTAGCAAGTGGAGTGAAACCCAGCGTCTTCGGGAACATTGCCAAACTCGATTTCTAGACAATGTTGGTAGGTTTCTGCTATTCTCTGATTCTCACCTTGCAAAAAAAGCAGTTTCTGAATTTATCCCACCGTGTGCGTGTAACATCCTTTGTTTCTTCTTTCTTTATGGACGTGAGATGCATGTAGCATTGTTAAAAATACTTTTTACGGACTTTTGAAGGAGGTCTGGCCGTAATTTCTTCTTCTTCACTACTCGATATTGACAACAAGGGCGCAGACATCTTGGACTAATGTTTACCTGTCGTCCCAAAAAAAGCACGTGACGATTGTTCCGCGAAGCCTCATCACTGATGATTGCCGACTTTAAACAGTAATACAAAATAAACTTCAGGATTACACATGGAGAACTTTTATTTTCACGCCCAAAAACAATTGATCTTTTTATTAGAATGAAAAGAATTTAGTGCCCCATATATGGAAACAGGATTAAACGTAAAACGTCTTCACCTTACGGCCTAATACCCCAGGCGAGGTAGTTAACATCTCCTAGCTGCCTGTGGCGCTTTGATGTGGAATGATACTCTGAGCCTCGTGTCAGTATCTTGTGCACCAATATACTTCTCATCCTATTGTCTCCCTTTAGTTGGCTGTCGGTCCCTGAACAGAAATAATAAATAATAAATAAAAAACTTATTTTAAAACACGCTTTCATGAAATGTTCTAAAACGTTTAAAATAAATATTTTCTGTTCAAGTACTTTGCTTAATGTATGTTTCATATACTCTTGTTGTAACTGACTGTAAATTAAAGCGTGGGGTGCGCGTACTATTTTAGAACAAATATGTATGTATTCACAATGGGAAGTAAGTGTTCATATCTTGTTAATATGTGTAATAATACTCTTGGAGACGACTTGTGGAATCGGGCCTTTAATTTATTCCAGTTCACAAGTACTCCCCGCTGCTGGCAGGCAACGGCAAGTGGGCAGACAGACCACAAGAGACGCACCGCTACGTGGCACTCGGAGCCCCGCTCGCACGTGGCCCCTTTCTTCCTTCGTTCTTCGTCTGACCACGTGTCGTTCATCTCCCCCCTTATTTAATGCCTGGGTCACGTGGTACGCTCCAGCCAATCCTTGGTAGCCTGCGCCAAAACTTCTAGATTCCCCATCAACTCCCGGGACCACGCCCCTGACTTGTCTTCCCATTGGCTGAGGCCAAAATCAGCAGAACCAATCACCCTAGCTGGCACCCCTTGATCACGCCAGGGCCATGCTCCCAGGCTCTCCCCCCATTGGCTGTGAAGCAGGATCTGCAGAGCCGATCACCACGTGAGCCGGACATAGGCTCTTATTACATCACCCCCCCCCCGGTGTAAAAGTCAGCCGTCTCGGCTGGGAAAAGGGTGACAAGCCGATCCAATAAAGTTGATTATTAGGGCGTCCAAGACGCATTAACAAGTAAGGGGGTGAAACAGGCGTCTATGCGCCGAAAAAAAGAATAACCCATGAACAACAGACACACATTAGGGTGCCCCTGTAGTGTGGTAACAACAGAGAAAGGACTGCAAGGCAATCAATGCTATCGAAACGGAAGAGATTTCGACCGTGTACGCGACGCGGGACCCTCTTCGCTTCCTGCGCATGGTCGCCTTGCCGCCGGATCTGCAGGAGGTGGTTGGCATGGAGAAGAGGAAGAAGAATGTTCGGTTTCGGTCGTATCCAGGGTAGGTTCCGTTGGAGGAGGGACGGCGGGGGTCTCATCATCCCTCAAAACCTGTTCATCTGCGGGGGGCACAACACAGCCCCGCTGGGGATCAACGGGCGAGGCAAGCGGCACATTCGGCACAGCAGACCCCGGCAGGTCAACAAGTGGAGATGAGGGGTCGGCACGCGAGTCAACGTAGGGTTTAAGTCGTGACAAATGGACGTACCAACGACGTTTTCCGTACTGGACGCGAACACTCTGTGGGTTCCTAATGTCCACCAGCGTCACAGGCCCCCGCCAAGGCCTGTGCAGTTTAGGGGACGTGCCCACTGGCACCTGAGGGCAGTGTAGCCATGCCAGATCGCCCACCGACCAGGGCATGTGAGTACGCGATCGACGCGCATAACTCTCGTTCCTTGCCTGCGTACGGGCCGTCGCACACCTGGCGGCCTCTCGCGCCTCTGTAACCCGTTCAAGCGAGTCCCATACGTGATCAGGCAAGGAAATGGACGGTTGTTTCCTCGCCGTACCCAGTTGCACATCAATGGGGGGTACATTCTCACGGCCATACATAAGGAAAAATGGCGAATATCCCGTGGACACGTGCGGAACCATGCGGTATGCCGCTAAGACGCCCGGTATGTGCAAGTCCCAATCGGTCTCTTTTTCACTCAGCGTGTGACAAAGCATAGCCGAAAGGGTGCGGTTAAATCGTTCCACCATGCCATCCGTTTGCGGATGGTAAGGGGAAGTGCGGATTTTCTTTGTGCCCAGCGCATCGCAAACATCCTTGAGAAATTTGGAGGAGAAGTTACGTCCCTGATCTGTGAGCAGCCTTTCGGGTGCTCCTTTATCCATGACATAACCATTCAAGAAAGCATCAGTGATGGACGCAGCCGTTTGGTCAGGCAGAGGCCAGGCCATAGGCCATCGAGAAAAATATTCTACCCCAACCAGAAGGTATTTGTTGCCCCTAGCTGATGGAGGGAACGGCCCCAGGATGTCCAGAGCGACTAGTTTGTTGATATGGGAAACCTCAATCGAAAGTAGTGGCAGCACATAATGTTTCCGAGGCAGTTTCCTCTATGCACAATCATGGCATGACCGGACAAAGTCGCTAACGTCTGCCATCATGCCGGGCCAAAAAAAATCTTTCTGCATTGCAGCCAAAGTTTTCTGCACGCCGAGGTGCATTAATTTGTCAGTGTGCAGAGTGCGGAGCAGGTCATGGCAAAGGGATGTAGGCACGACCAGGCATGATCGATCAGAGAATCCATCGGTACACATCAATAGTCCCGCCCGGCCCCGGAACATCTGCCATTTCTATCCCGCCAAATGAGCTCTCAGTTTCCAGATTAGTTTCCGCAGCGAAGCCAGAGAGGCATCGGCCTCCTGCTCGCGTAGTCACACAGAGTGCGGCAGCCGCAGGGTATCATCAGTGCCTACTGGGACATCCTGGCCGTCCTCGTTCGACATCGCTCCCATGACCGGACAGGGCGAGGTAGGCAGCGCTGCACATCGGTGCATACCCATCAGACAGGCACATGGAGGAATGGGTCGCAAGGGTGCTCGTGGCATTGACACAGTTGAACCACATTTATCATTTGAGGTGCAACTATGTGTGCGAGTGGATGAATGATGTGACAAGACCTGCCGGGTGTCCGATTTGTGCCGACTCGCCCGATGGTGTCGTAGATCCGCGCCTGGTGGAGGAGATGAAGGTCCACTCGGCAGAAGCGGCGAAGGCAGAGGTCGGCAGCGGCAGTCGCGGGCAAAATGGCCCCGTCAGCCACACTTAAAACACGTGGCCGTCGTCGGCCGGCGGTCGGTCGTCCCGGCCTCAGCGCATGGTCGACCTGCGTAGTCACCACGCTGGTCGCGCAGTCGTCGTCTTGGGATCCAATGCGGAACAGCAGCCACCACCTCGTCGTCGCCGGAGTCATCGGAGCAGTGGACGACCCGCCGTATAGACCACCCTAAAGGTGGGCCGTCTATTTCTGGTTTTCCCGTCCATGCCGCCATCTGATCCCAGCGCTTGAGGTTGAATTTAGCGTCCAAGCAGCGTGCCACCCATCGCGATGTAAGCGGTTCGTGACCGCATACCGGCAGCGAGATGTTGAGTTCCTGGGATAGCTCCAGCATTCGGGAAAGAATGAGAGGATAGAGGTGATCAGCCGTCGAGTCTGGGTAGGCGGCCATGGCTAACGCCAACGGCGCCCCCGGTAAGCCAACGGCGATTCCTTTGATCCGCGACGACGTGACATAAATTTTCTCGTAGCCGCCGTCGGCGGGTCGTAAAACTCCGCCATCTCTGTGAAAGCATCATGAAGCATCTTCTTCTTGGTCGCTGGGATGGATCGGAAGACCGCCAGGTGAGACATCATCCAACAGCGTGGGCAGCACCTCCAGCGCCTCCGCCTCCGTCCATCGCACGGATCTAAAGGCCGACTCGAAGCGCCACGTAAAAGCACTCCAATCGCCCCCGGCGATAAATTCTTTGATCTTTGGAAGACGATGTCCGCAGTGGCAGGCAGACGCCTCGAGCGTCTCCAATTGCACTTCCCGCGTTCTGCACGTCTCCATCAAAATGGTGTCGGGTAGCCGCGTGGTGGCAGCCTCGTGCAAGATGGCGTCCAACGGCTCCGTCGCAGCCGCCCTGCCCAAGATGGAGGCCTCCCCCCGCGTGGCAGGAGCAATGGCGGACGTCGATTCCCGCCGAAGATCTTGGTCCTCGGCATTAAGCTGAACTGCTGGCGGCCGACCCAGGGCCGTTGAGGACGCGACCACCATCACCAGATTGAGCAAAATCGCGCAGAGCATCTCGATCTGCTCCGCCATCAGCCACCATCCTTCGTCTGCCCTTGAGGTGGTCGTTTCTTCCTCCCATCGGCGATGAACGGCGTCGAGGAGAGCAGCAGCCGGAGGCAGAGAAGCCGTAGCTCCCAGCAGATCGTCCTCGTCCATCTCCACAACTTCCTCCGATGGAGGGTCGGGTGGGTTCTTCTTTCTGAGGTGCTTGGACATCTTGAAGATCGTCCAAACGGTCCCAGAAGAACTTCTGACACCAATGTAATAATACTCTTGGAGACGACTTGTGGAATCGGTTCTTTTATTTATTCCAGTTCACAAGTACTCCCCGCTGCTGGCAGGCAACGGCAAGTGGGCAGACAGACCACAAGAGACGCACCGCCACGTAACACTCGGAGCCCCGCTCGCGCGTGGCCCCTCTCTTCCTTCGTTCTTCGTCTGACCACGTGTCGTTCATCTCCCCCCTTATTTAATGCCTGGGTCACGTGGTATGCTCCAGCCAATCCTTGGTAGCCTGCGCTGAATCTTCTAGATTCCCCATCAACTCCCGAGACCATGCCCCTGACTTTTCTTCCCATTGGCTGAGGCCAAGACCAGCAGAACCAATCACCCTAGCTGGCACCCCTTGATCACGCCAGGGCCATGCTCCCAGGCTCTCCCCCCATTGGCTGTGAAGCAGGACCGGCAGAGCCGATCACCACGTGAGCCGGACATAGGCTCTTATTACATATGTAGTAATTTGAAAGTAAGGTTTTAAGCCGTTTATTTTTGGGAATGTCTGCATTGAGAATGCAAAGTAACTGTTAATATGTAGTTAATATCTTATTATTGTAACGTACAGTTTTTCATGCGTTGATGTTTGTGAATGTCTCGATTGACAATCGCAAGTAACTGGTGATATGTTGGTCATATGTTGTAATGTAAACGTGTACGTTTTAAAGCCGTTTATTTTTGTTAATGTCTGAATTGGCAATGCAAAGTAACTGTCCATATGTAGTTAATATGTTGTAATTCCAACTGTAAGTTTGTATGGCGTTTTGGTTTGCTAATATGTCAGGATTGACAATGGAAAGTAAATGGTCATATATAGTATATATGTTGTAATTTAGACGTGATGTGTTTAGGCCGTTAATTTTTGTGAATGTATGCATTTCTTGTTAATATGTTGTATCTCCTTGGTTCTTTCGGTAAAGTCACGTAGAAGGAAAATAATAAAATAAATAAAATAAAACATAATAAAATAATTCTCACGACGTTTCGGCCACAACGCAAGCAGCCGTATTTTCCTTCTACGTGACTTTACCGAATGAACCAGTAAGATGAATCCCTGCAGTCACGAAAGCTTTAAATCGAAATTTAATATGTTGTAATTAAAATGTTTTGTTTTAAAGCCGTTTTTTGTGTGAATATGTGTGCATTGACAATGCATATTTACTGGTCATATGTTGTTAATAGGTTGTAATTGAGACGTTAAGTTTGTAAGCCGTATATATTTGTTAACATGTAATGTCTGAATTGTCAAGTTCAAGTTCATATATTAGGTATAGCCCTGTGAGCCATTCAGCTCTTGAATCGGGTGCAACCGCAACAAACAAAAAACAAAAACATGAACAAAAAACATCTTAAAGTGAATATGTGACTAAGTGCAAACAGAAAATCCAAGAAAAGACAGCAAAAATATTGCAGAAAAAACACCGTACACCAACACTGTGTGCAAAAATCTCAGTGGGATGCAAGTCAAACAACAACAACAACCACAAGACAGCTTAGATTAAGGCCATCATTCTAACTCTGTACTACAACAAACAAACATGGCTAAACCAATACACTTTTCGAAATCACCAAAATAAAGCCATGAAAGCAATGAAAAAGCAATCATAGGAACTGTGACGGAATTTTCACAATAAATGGCATAAACAACATGTACTACCAAAACCCTGCAGCCATAGCTGGCTGCATGAGTCACTCCACAACAGCAGGAGCATCAATCGGAGTATTGTAATTTTTCAATGCACCTTTAAGATCAGCACACTAAATCAAAACACAGGTCATACTTTGTAGCGATCATCCGGAGCGAAACATTTTATTTTAGGTCACTGAATAGCACTGGCAGCTAGGGGTGTACAACTCCTCTAGAGCAGTTTTGAGTGAAGATCTCATAGGTAGTGACTCAAGTTTCAATTTATTTGCAACAGCATTCCAGACCCTGGGGGCATCAATAGCAAAGGCCCTTCCTCCAGTATATGTACGGCAATAGGGAATATTAAGCTGGTAAATGAGTGTAGACCTTAGGTCAAATTTGTTCTTTGAAACAGAGACGAGATCCAGCAGGTAATCTGCAGATTTTTTTGCAAGTACATCATGAATAAATAAGATCTGGTGCACAAGCCGTCGAACATTCAGAGATGTTAAGTTTGACCCAATGTAGAGATCACAGTGGTGAGTCCTATATGGGCAGTTCAATGCAAATCTTAAGGCCGAGTGATACATTGAGTCAAGCTTCTTCAGTACAGTACTTGGGGCTGATTTATACACAATGTCACAGTAATCAAGTAGAGGCAGTATGGTAGCTTTAATCAATTCCAAACGGAACATAGGGGGGAAGCAGTGCTTGTGTCGATATAGAAAACCAATTTTAATTTTTGTCTTTTTCCCAATATAATCAATGTGATCTTCAAAATTCAGTTTTGAATCCAGGATGACCCCAAGATACTTATAGATCTTGACTTGCTCTATTTGATCATTATTTAAGGTATGTAATTGGGGAAAAATAACTTCCCACTTTAGTCCTGGTGAGAAGCATAGCACCTTGGTTTTGGCAGGATTTAGGACTAGTTTAAGAGCAACTAGCTGATGTTGTAGTTTGTTGAAATCACTCTGGAGCTTAGCAATCACGTCATCCGGAGAGCGGCCAGCAGTAATTAGTACCGTGTCATCTGCAAAAAGATTTACCCTGGAATAATCCAGTTCAGTGCCCAAGTCATTTACATAAAGAGAGAACAAGAGGGGGCCGAGAATGGAACCCTGTGGAACCCCTTTTTTTTTATCTTAACACTGTTTGACCTCCAACCCTCTGTGAATACAGTTAGGGTGCGAGAAAAGAGGTAATTTTTTAACCATTTTACTGTGTTTTCGGAAAAACCGAGGCAACTTATTTTACTAAGCAGGATGTTGTGGTCTACTGTATCAAAAGCTTTGGACAAGTCAAGAAAAAGACAGGCGCAGTACTGCTTATTATCAAGGCTACTGTAAATGTGATTCAGAGAGTCTAATGCAGCAGATGTGGTGCTGTATTTTTTTCGGAACCCAGGTTGTTTTAGATGCAATAGATTGTTGGCGGACAGGAAACTGCTAATTTGGTAGGTCAATAATTTTTCAAAAATTTTCATCAACGGGGACAAAATTGAGATAGGTCGGTAGTTATTTGGATCATCTTTAGGGCCCGCTTTGTGAAGTGGACGAACATAGAAATGTTTACATTCTAGAGGAACTGATGCTTCTTTGATGGACAGGTTGAAAATATGGGCTATAGGTTTGTATATTAGGTGACCAACACTTAGTAGAGCAAAGACGGGAATACTATCTGCTCCGTTAGAGGAGGACCCTTTGAGGTAGGACAGTTGTTTCAGAACATTACTTTCGTGGATTGGCGGAAAACTAAATTCGCTTAATGTTTGGATAGGGGTGTAGGAATTTGCATGAGCAGGGGTGACTCCCAATACATTATCAAATAGGGTACCAGCTTCAGAAAAATGAAGGTTAAAATTGTCAACTATTTTTTGGGGATCTGAAAAATATTCCTCATTTCGGTTAAGCTGAACGGGCAGATGATCTGTTTTGGATGCCTTTTCGATACATTTGATTGTTTTCCAGTAAATCCTGGCATTTCCATGAGATTCAAGGAGAGTGGAAGAGAAGTAGTTATTTTTTGCATGCCGTATTTTTTTGACGCATCTATTCCTTAAAATCCTGTATTCTAGCCAGTCATTGACCAAATTACTTTTCTGAGCACATGCCCAAGCCTTGTCCCTAGTTTTCATGAGCTTTGTAATTAAAGGATCAAACCATGGTGGATGGTTGCCTTTAGTTTTAAATTTAACCAACGGAGCATGTTTGTTAAGAATTTGGAGAAACGTGTACCTGAAGGTCTCCCAAGCCGTAGTCAGGTTTGGAATATCACAGACCTTGTCAATATCCGAGTGAAGCACATCATTAGTAAATGCCTGAGTGCTGAAGTGTCTCATGGAGTGCTTCTCAACTAATTTAGGGGGGGCTTTGGGTCTGGCTGATGATCTCACCCCAAAAATGAAGGAGTGATCACTAAGGTTATTACCTAGAACACCAGTCAGTGCGAAATTGTGAGGGGCATTTGTCAATAGGACGTCAAGCAGAGATGACTGTCCCGGATTTTTTAGGTTGGGTCTTGTGGGGACATTTATTAATTGAAACAGGTTAAATTCATCTGCAAAATGTGTGGCCACGGCCGGCGGGTTTAGCCAATTCCAATTTAGATCACCCACTAAAACTATTTCACCTTAAGGGAGGCCCCCAAGAAGCTCTCTCAGTGCAGATGCAGCTTCAACATCCTTCCCACTAGGCGGTCTATAGCAGCACACTACCAATATGTGTTGATTATTAGGGAGAGTTATTCTGAGAGCCAGACCTTCAAAGCAACATTTTTTAAACAAGGAGTGAGCTGGTGAACATGCAATAGTATTACGAACATAGATGGCAATTCCACCTCCTTTAGATCCTCGGTCAAGCCGAAAAAGATTGTAGTTGTCAATCGTAATCTGCAAGTCATTGACGGCAGGAATGAGAAATGTTTCTGTTAGGCAAAATATGTCCGGGTCAAGATTTGCTACTTCTAGTTTTAGTTGACTTAATTTAATCAAAAGCCCTCTGATGTTGACATGTAGAACACCAACACCTTTTCTGCCAGAAAAATTTACAGAATTATATGAGTTCTTTACATTTGGTCCAGGGTGAAGCTCAATACCACCCAGAAATAAGAAAAGTAGAATTAATAGTTTGCACAGGTATTTTCTGTGAAAGGATGAAGAGCGACGAACCTTGGACGAATAGCAGCAGCTCGCAGATGGTGTTATTTTTAAGAGCAGAATGAAGTTTGGAAGGAGTGCTGGTGAAGTAATGGGACAAAGATAGGGTTTAAAAGGATATAATGATGGAGTGTAGAAGTGTCTATAAGTTGTTTCATTAGCAGGTGTAGTTGCAAATTTAGCAATAAGTATTGACGCGAAGTAACGCGGGTAGCCGTTTGTAGAGTTGAGTGTGGCACTAGATATGGCCGGGAGGGACAGTAGTAAGATACACAGCAGGTGAATTGACATCTTTAAAACACTAAAGTTAAACACACACACAGCTCACTCACACGCAGCTCACCCTCACCCACTCTCACGCACAGCCCACACCCATGCAGCACAACGCACACGCGGCCGCACACGCCGCCGCCATCTTGCTGCTGTTGTTGTTGCAGCTGCTGTTGTTGTTGCCGCAGCTGCTGCTGTTGTTGCCGCAGCTGCTGCTGTTGTTGCCGCAGCTGCTGCTGTTGTTGCTGCAATGTAAAGTAACTGCGCCTATGTTGTTAATATGTTATAATTACAAGGTTAAATTTATAAGGCGGTTTGTTTAGTAAATATTTATGCTTTTACAATGGGAAGAAACTGCTCATATGTTGTAATTGTTACCGAAAGTTTTAAATACATTAATATGAGCGCCCCACCCTTTTATTTAGAGTCAGTTACAACAACAGTATATGAAACATATATAATGCAAAGTACTTGAACAGAAAATTGTATTTTAAAAGTTTTAGTACATTTCATAAAAGTGTGTTTTAAAAAATAAGTTTTAAAAATATATTTTATTTAGTACTTTATAGTGGCATCAAATATTGTTACCAAATTATATTTTACGAATTATAGACAAAAGTTAAAACATTTATAAGTATTAAAGCATTTTGATCAAGGCTAATTGTTCTCTAGATCGGGGTCGTACTCTCTCATTTGTCCCATTTCTTCTCGGGCAGCAGTGTGGCACTTCTTTCATGGAGTAGGTGCGGTGAGCGAGCATCTATGAAAGCTGACAATGCGCACGAGGGTGTGGGTAGCCAGCAACACGACCTTTGTCTCCCCAGTGGTGATGTTTACACACAGCACCAGGTACTAATTTGAGGCTGAGTCGACCTAGGGGAAGCCCAGGACCGCTTCAGATAATCGCCATTGGTGTTGGCCGTGAGCAGGAATCGAAACTTGGGTCGCCGGGTTCAAAGCACAGCGCGCTAACCAACAACACCACCACGGCCATCATCACCATCAAAGACAAAGATCCCCCCTATAGCCTTAACAGACTGTAGGAGCAAGTGCTGTTAGCGAGTAGCACTTATGAAGGCCGGCACGGCATGACCAAACACGGCAAAATTGAGTCTTCCGCCATTGCCGATCATTGCTACAACGTGGTGCCCCCCCCCTCTCCTCTCCCTTAACTTGTGTTTAAGAGCTTGCATCTTTAATTCCTGCCTCACTTGATGCAGCAAATCTGGCTGTGACGGTCCCACCTGATGACGGAGACTTGTGTTGCCTCCAAAACGTCGTGATTTTTATTATTTTATTTTTTATAAATTTTAATTTCATTTTTTACCTACGTGACTTTACCGAAAGAACTAAAAGTAGGACTATACACTTTTTCCTGATATTCGCTACACACTTTTCAGTCTCTCTTCCCATCACCTTTATGAATTTCCTCGTCTCTGATCCCATGTAATGGCAGGTCATAATATACATGGATTTTAAACTATACTCTTCAGACACACTGGTATGTTGCTTTCACCACTAAAATATAGTATATTAATTTCTTCCCCCACCGCCCCTCCCACCAATATGATTTGTTGCCTCTAATTTGACCTCTTTTCACTGCCACATCCGAGCCGAGCCAGTGTGGGGGGGGGGGTCTCGGAGTACAGGTGGTTTTCCATCGGCTATTTACCGTGCCTAGCCGTAACCAAAATCGAGATACCTCCCATCTGGATGCGGCCAGATCCAGATGTGATGTCAGTCAACACACCGTGAAATCAGCACACCGGTGCCACAGTGACAACATGTTTACTGCCTCGCCCGATGTACAGGCGGTCGTGGGTTCAATCCCGACCCTGACGCCTGAATATTTGGAGTTTGCATGTTCTCTCCGTGCTCGTTTAGATTTTTCTCTGGATCCTCCGGTTTTTCCCTCCACATTTACAAATATGCATTCTAGAGTATTTGGCTGCTATTAATTTCCACGTGATAAGCCACTTTGTTGGGCTATCATTTGTTGCCAGGTCGCTTCTGAAAAAAAGAGCTAAATAGCTCAGTGGGCCTTACCTGGTGAAATAAAAATAGTTTAGTTTATATTCTCTGGGTCTTTCGGTAAAGTCACGTAGATAGGTTAGGAAAAAATCTTCTCCACCTGATGACGAGAACTTTTGTTGCGATCGAAACGTCGTAGTTTTTGGAAAAAAATTTAACCTATCTACGTGACTTTACCGAAAGACCCAAAGAATATGAATTCCTGCAATCACGAAAGCTTTAAGTCAAGATTTAGTTTAGTTTAAGTTTATCGTCACCGTGTCATCTAGATGGCTCGGGCTCTGCAGTTGATAAACCACCCGGTGTCTCCTGAGCGGTGCAAGGCTGGCTCAAGACAACCCCAGCACGGCTCAGGCGTCGTGAGTGGAAAAGAGGATGACATCGCCCCCCGGGAATCACTGCCGCAGCACGACGTAGTTCGCCGGGAACATCCCGACTTGACCGTTGCACTCGCCACGCCACCAGCCCTCGTCCAGACACTCGATGTTGGTGATGATGTCGTCCGGGTCGAAGGAGAGCTCATCGTCGCCGACTTTGTACGAAAAACAGAATTAGTAGGGTATTAAAAGCGTATTCCTTCGTAATAATGATGATGATACTTGCTAATCCGGGAGAGAATCGCTGAGGTTTAAAACTTATTTTCGGGAGGGATCTTCCACATTGGTACGATGGGGTCAATTTTGGCAAAGCTGTATTTTGCATGTGGGAGCAAAACGGAGTACCCAGAAAAAAACTCAAGCAAGAAAGGAGATAGCACTCAGTGGTGTGCATAAAATGGTTTCGTGAGCCAATTTGCTGCATTGGCATCTCTTAACGACTTTGCACGAGCAAACACTTCAAGACGCGGCAGAGAAAACATGATATGGGAAAAGCTGGCCAGTTGACGTTTTTCCAGTGCAAGGGCATCTTGCAGTGCTACTTTCATCGACCACTTCGCATCACAGTAGGCTTTAAGAGTTTTACACATTCACGCGATCGATCCACCAAACCTCGCTTCTATTGTGCTGGATGACATGCCCAGCTCGTTGGCAAGCGAGGTTAATAATAATAAATACAATTTCTTCAGTGCACATTTGCATGTAATTTTTTCTCCAATAAAATTCAGAATTTGAACTGAAAAAAAAAACTGGAAAAGTATAGCAAAAGCGCAATTCTTGCGTGTCGCGTCTGTCTCACCTGCTTGGTAGTTATAGATGGCAACAGCTGTCATACCTGCGGAGGACGAGGGGAAAGTCTCATTTCGTAGTCTGGCAAAACAACCATAAGAGGCTCCCGCACAATTGATGTGAACAGGCAATGTGCAGCATACCGCAGGGACACAGAACACAGATTCCAAGCGCAACTTTCTGTATTTGCATAACACACACGCTTCACGTGACAAAAAACAAAAAAATCAACACTTTCGTAAATAAAACACTGTGGCCTTAAAACATTGTGTGTCACAGCCTCGCACACTCTCACATCCACACACAGATATTGTGTGTCACAGCCTCGCACACTCTCACATCCACACAAAGACATTGTGTGTCACAGCCTCGCACACTCTCACATCCACACACAGGCATTGTGTGTCACAGCCTCGCACACTCTCACACCCACCCACAGACATTGTGTGTCACAGCCTCGCACACTCTAATATCCACACACAGACATTGTGTGTCACTCCGCTGCTGGGTGAGCGACTCCCCGCGCCGTGCGCGTCCTGGGGGGGGGTTATTTGACCATACTTCACCGCTCTCGTCGATGCGCGTTGGCGATGGTGGGGATCGTGAACGTTAAAGCGTAGAGGTGCAGTACAACAATGGGTCACGTTGCTCTGCTCTCTGCTGGTGTGATGTGTGGACATTCGGCACGAGAGTGACAAAGGCGGCCGGGCGTGTTGCTGGCCATCCAACCCCTCGTGTGCCGTGCCAGCGTTCATAGGTGCTGCTGCTCGCTAACAGCACTTGTCCCAGTACACAGCAGTAGGGTTTAGTAGAATATTGAAACTGTTAAACTAATTTTATTTCACCAGGTAGAGCCCACTGATCCATGCCACTCTCTTACTGCGTCTCTCTCCCCATGGTGGCGTGGATTTACCCAGCTTCCTCGCTTTGAGAATTATTTTGCATTCCGAGGATTTGGCTGCTGCTAAAAATATCCACGTGATGACCCACTTCATAGAGCTGTCATTTGTGATAATCAGGTCGCTCTTGAACAAAGAGCGACATCGTTCAGTGGGTTCCTTACCTGGTAAAATAAAATTAAAAAGGGGGGGTGCACACAGAAGTGCAGTGCAACAGAGCAGCACACCCGGGTGCTAGACTGGGGAACTCACAGACGACTCTTTCAAGGGAGCGGATCGTGGTGACGTCCAGTGAAGTGGCAGGTGCGGGTGCAGATTCCTTTTGGAACTTTTTCCTGGGACAACCACCAACAGCATCACACACAGCCTCGTTTAACCACAGCATCGGAACACTCAGCATCCATAGCACACGCAGCACATGTCTCACACACAGCCCATGTCTATCACACAGCCCGTGTCTCACACAGATCGTGTCTTACACACAGCCCATGTCACACAGGCAGTGTCTCACACGAAGCTAAAGACAAAGATCCCCGATATAGCCTTAACAGACTGTAAGCGCAAGTGCTGTTAGCGAGCACCTATGAAGGACGGAATGGTACACGAGTGGATGGGTGGCCAGCACCACGCCCGACCGACTTTGTCTCCACAGTGGCGATGTTTACCCACCACACAAGGTACTCATTTGAGGCTGAGTCTACCCACGGGAGGCCCAGGACCGGTTCAGATAATCGTCACTGGAGTTGTCAGTGAGCGGAAATCGAACCAGGGTCCACGGGTTCCCAGCAAGGCGCGGTAACCGCTACACTACCACTCACACAGCCCGTGTCTCACACACAGTCAGTGTCTCACACACAGCCAGTGTCTCACACACAGTCATTATCTCACACACAGCCAGTGTCTCACACACAGCCCGTGTCTCACACACAGTCAATGTCTCACACAGTCAGTGTCTCACACACAGCCGGTGTCTCACACGCAGCCCATGTCTCACACACAGTCAGTGTCTCACACACAGCCAGTGCCTCACACAGAGCCCGTGTCTCACACACAGCCAGTGTCTCACACACAGCCCACGTCTCACACACAGCCCGTGTCTCACACACAGTCAGTGGCTCACACATAGTCAGTGCCTCAAACACAGTCAGTGTCTCACACACAGCCCGTGTCTCACACACAGTCAGTGTCTCACACACAGTCAGTGTCTCACACACACCCCGTGTCTCACACACAGTCAGTGTCTCACACACAGCCAGTGTCTCACACACAGTCAGTATCTCACACACAGCCCGTGTCTCACACACAGCCCGTGTCTCACACACAGCCCGTGTCTCACACACAGCCAGTGTCTCACACACAGTCAATGTCTCACATACAGCCAGTGTCTCACACACAGCCAGTGTCTCACACACAGCCCGTGTCTCACACACAGCCCACGTCTCACACACAAGCCCGTGTCTCAAACACAGCACGTGTCTCACACAAAGACCGTGTCTCACACACAGCCCGTGTCTCACACACAGCCCGTGTCTCACACACAGTCATTATCTCACACACAGCCAGTGTCTCACACACAGCCCGTGTCTCACACACAGTCAATGTCTCACACAGTCAGTGTCTCACACACAGCCGGTGTCTCACACGCAGCCCATGTCTCACACACAGTCAGTGTCTCACACACAGCCAGTGCCTCACACAGAGCCCGTGTCTCACACACAGCCAGTGTCTCACACACAGCCCACGTCTCACACACAGCCCGTGTCTCACACACAGTCAGTGGCTCACACATAGTCAGTGCCTCAAACACAGTCAGTGTCTCACACACAGCCCGTGTCTCACACACAGTCAGTGTCTCACACACAGTCAGTGTCTCACACACACCCCGTGTCTCACACACAGTCAGTGTCTCACACACAGCCAGTGTCTCACACACAGTCAGTATCTCACACACAGCCCGTGTCTCACACACAGCCCGTGTCTCACACACAGCCCGTGTCTCACACACAGCCAGTGTCTCACACACAGTCAATGTCTCACATACAGCCAGTGTCTCACACACAGCCAGTGTCTCACACACAGCCCGTGTCTCACACACAGCCCACGTCTCACACACAAGCCCGTGTCTCAAACACAGCACGTGTCTCACACAAAGACCGTGTCTCACACACAGCCCGTGTCTCACACACAGCCCGTGTCTCACACACAGTCAGTGTCTCACACACAGCCAATATCTCACACAGTCAATGTCTTACACACAGCCTTTGTCTCACACAAAGCACTTATCTCACACACAGCCGTTGTCTCACGCAGCCCAAGTCTCACGCAGTCAGAATCTCACCCAGGCTGTATATCAAACACTGAACGTCTCTAATACATATCCTGTCTAACACACAGCCCGTGTTACACACATGCAGTGTCACACATACAGCCAGAGTGTAACACAACCCGTGTCTCACACAGCCCGTGTCTCACAGACCCCATGTCTCACACACAGCCTGTGTCTCACACAGCCCGTGTCTCACACTGCCAGTATCTCACATAGCCCGTTGTCACACATAGCCTGTGTCTCACACACAGCCCGTGTCTCACACACAGGGAGTGTCTCACACAACAACAACCGCCATTCGCCACTAAGTGGCGGTGACGTCACCACGACGCTTGTGCCAGGCTATATGCACCTTGAGGCCGCGTGAAGTGTCGATCGCCCGAGGGCAGAAGGTCATGGGGCAGACCCAGATGCCGCAGGTCGACTGACTGAGATGACTGGCTGATGCACCACCTGTGCCCCCTATTGTGCCAACTTGCTGTGCTTTAGTGACCCGGCGATCCACTCGTTATTGTGAGCGTTGCTCCTCTGCCCTCTGTTGTTGTTGGAGGGCGACTGCCTCCAACTGCCCAGTAGCGTCCTTCACGAGCCTCCTTCACAGAGGCCGATCTTGACACCGTTGGTACCAGTCATCGGCAAGTCCACTCAGCTCCACGTCCTCCTGGACCACAACACCTCATCTCTTCTCTAGCCCGTGCCACACACATTTAGCCCCTTCGATCCGGCCGAACAAAAGCTGTTTAGGCATGCGGTGGCTGGGCATGCGGGCTACATGGCTCAACCAACGCAGCATTGCCTGCCGGAGGAGCTCACCGCTGGGATTTTGTACAGATCTTTCAAGGATTTGTGAGATCCTCACACAATCCAGCCTGGTTAAATCCAGGATGAATCGTAGGCAGGCCAGCCTAAATGTTTCTAACCGGCGACGATGTTCCATTAAGGGGATCCACATTTCGCAAGCGTAGAGAAGGAGGGAATGACCATGACCGAGAAGACCTGAAGCTTCGTGTGTAGCGAGAGACCAGGTAGCTTCCACACAGCATTACGCAACTGATAAAAAGATAATGCCGCTCGACTGATTTGGAGTGAGACCTCTGCTGTTAAACTGGAGCTGGTCATGAGCACACTGCCCAGGCATAGAAAACTCTCCACTCTCTCCACAACTGCCCGATCACCAATCGGGACTTGGCATTGCCTCACCAACACCTATTTAACCTGGAATGGCACCCTCTACAAACAGAATGAGGGTACCCCTATGGGCTCCCCCTTGTCACCAGTTATAGCCAACATGTTCATGGAAAAGTTTGAATCAGACGCCATCCAGACATCCACCCTGCGCCCTTCCCTGTGGAAGAGGTATGTGGATGACACTTTCGTCATCTGGCCACATGGCCTCCCAGCATTGAACCACTTCTTGGACCACATCAATTCTAGACACCCATCCATCAGATTCACCATGGAAGTGGAGAAAGACGGTAAACTACCATTCTTGGATATTCTGTTTGAGAGGAGGCCTGACGGATCCTTGGGACATTCTGTCTACAGGAAAGCCACCCACACAGATTCCTACTTGAAACCGGATTCCCACCACCACCCATCTCAAAAGAATTATCTCATCAAAACGCTATACCACAGAGCCCATGGCATTTCTGACCAACACCACCTGACCGGTGAATTCAGACATGTACATCGGGCCCTCAGGATGAACGGATACTCTGACCGTACTATCCGCCAAGCTGTCTCTCCCACCACACAGAAACAGCCACATGAAACTCCGACCAAAACTATCACGTTACCATACATAGCAGGCGTGACCAAAAAGATCTCCAAAATTCTAAACAAACATAAGATCCAAGTCCGATTCAGTACAGTGCATAAAATCCGTGATCTGATTCCATCTGTGAAGGATGTCGTTCCTGACTTACAGTATCCTGGAGTCTACAAATTGAGTTGCATTTGTGGTGATTGCTACATTGGAGAAACGAAACGTCATGTTTCTGATCGTGTCCGCGAGCACAAGTCAGATCTGAAACACGGCAGAACTGATTCTTCGGCCGTTGCCGATCATTGCAACAACTCGGTGGGCTCTCAGGAAATTGTCTTTTCCGAGACCAAGGTTCTCTGCAAACCTCCCGGCTACCATCAAAGGTTTGTACACGAAGCCATACAAATATACAAACACAGACATAATTTCAACCGTGATGATGGGTACAAACTTAGTAATCATTGGAAAGATGTTATCAACCACGCAAAAAAGACTTAATTACACTTTTTTGGACCATCTTATCTGACAGGCACTATTTTACTTCACTTTACCGAGTGTTAACATCCCCAGTGTTTAACAGTACTCTCTTCATTGTTCAGCCAGCATTGGTATAAACATGGGCATTTGCGTTCTTTTTCTTTCATCTGTATCAGGCCCCCCCCTCCCCCTCTCTGTCCAATGCGTTGGCGTGTGCAGCAGCAACCGCGTCCAAGCCGTCGTCCATCCTTTTGGCCCCGCCCCCCTCCCCCTCCCGATGCGTTGTACGTGGCACTCCGTGCCGTCTTTGAGCCCCGCCCCCCTCCCTCCCGATACGTTCCATTCATTGGCTACCACATTCTGATGAGCTTCCCCCCCCTCTCCTCCCCCCTCAACTTGCTTTTAAGGGATTACATCTTGAATCATTGCCTCACTTGATGCAGCTAATCCGGCTGTGAAGGTCCCACCTGATGACGGAGACTTGTGTTGCCTCCGAAACGTCGTGATTTTTATTTTATTTTCATTAATTTTGATGTTTTACCTACGTGACTTTACCGAAAAAACCTAAGAATATGAATCCTTGCAGTCACGAAAGCTTCAAATCTAGAATCTATGGGTCTCCATTTATCTCTATTTGTCCCTATGCATCACTATTTGTCCCTATGTATCTCTATGGGTCTCTATATATCTCAATGTATCCCTATATATATCTATGGATCTGTATGTATCTCTATGGGTCTATTGTATATTTTTTTCACGTGATGATGATGATGTCAGCCACTTTGTTGAGCTGCTATCATTTGTGACAGCGAGGGTAGCTTTTGAAAAATATACATAACCTTACCTAGTAATATAGAAATGTTGTAGTCTAAATAAACTCCGGTGACGCGATTAGGGACGGCGTGAGATGCAGCTGTACGGTGTTCGTGACTTTGCGTCCGTGCCGGTGCACGACCTCCTGTGCAGTGCAACAGCTGCACCACAGCTCCACCCCGACAATCTGTGGCACTCTCTACACTTTTTTATGCCACAGGAGTGGAAGACGCGATGCCGTGTAACGCAACCTCTCAACAGACTCGCCAATCTAATGCAGTATACGTGCAGGTCCCTCGTAGTTAATGTTGAGTCTGAAAATGAATGATATGATCTTGATTTGAAGCTTTCGTGACTGCAGCAATTCATACTCTTGGTTCTTTCCTGACTTTACTGAATTATATAGTTATAGTAAGAGGCATCAAAGTTATAATGCGACTTCCTCAATGGGTGGAGGTCACGGGGGTCAAAGAGCCAGACCAGGACACGGTACCTGCTCCTCCTTGCGAGCGGCCTCCATCCGCTTCACGGACTCCTCCGCCTTCTTCCTCTTCTCCTCCACCGCTCGCGTCTCCTCCTCTATGCGCTTCTGTAGTGAGAGACGGGATGCCACCTCGGGGAGACTCCAGCCCCCTGAGCCACCTCTCACACCGCCCTTCCTTCCACACCGACCCCTCCACAGTGAAGGCCCTCATCTCCACGCTGCCTTTGTATGGCGACTGAGTGGGGGATGGGGAGTGGACAAGCTGATGCCTCGTTATAGCAGGAGCCGGTGGGAGCCGTACTGGCTTGGTGTCCATACCGACTCGGACCCAAAGTCTCATGTGCCCAATGCTGCCTAGTTTATAAGATGAATCTAAAATAATTGTTTCTCAGGTGGCTGTGATATCAGTCTCAAATCTTTGTCCAACTCATTACTTTATACGGCAATTATGTTTAATGAAAGCGTAAAATTCAATACATCCTGAGGCTTTTTCCTGAAATGCAAACCAGAGATTAGCTACACAGGCAGAGAGACAGATTCAAAAGGGAGAGCATGAAGACACGAGAGTTGTTTTCCTTCAGATGTTGTGGAGCCGAGTGACATAATTGGTCAGATCGTGTTACGGTGTCTGACTCTGAGGGCCTCACCTTCCGTGTCTTGTGTTCGTCCTTCAGCGTCAGGACCTTGTGCCATGTGTGTTTTCCTGCGATAGTGCAAGTTGAGCAGACCAGGCTGCTGTCTACTGTGCAGTAGAATTCCAACTCCTTTTTGTGATTAGGACATATTCGCTCATCCAAGCTTGCAGTGGGATCCACCACAGCGTGGTCTCTCAACCTGGGATTCTTCAGGTGAGGCCTAAAGTGAGAAAAACAGTAGGACATCTCACATCTCAGGCAGGTCTTCACTGCAGGAGTCAGGCCGTCACCGCAGATGTCACACACGACGGCCGCGGCCATCCTGTCCCCAACTCTGAGCTGCTCCGCTAGGTTGGCGAGGGCCACGTTCTTCCTCAGCTGGGGTCGCACAGGGAAGGTCGCTCGGCACTGCGGGCAGCTGAAGCTGCTCGCCGTCTTCCAGGCGGCCTTCAGGCACCAGAGGCAGAACGAGTGTCCGCAGCTCAGCGTGGAGGGGCAGACGAACGTGTCCAGGCAGATGGAGCAGCGCAGCTCACTATCCACAATCTCACTGGGAGTCGCGCTCGCCATGACCCATGGCTTCGCTGAGATCGCTCGCTGTGTGGCTCAGAGAGACACTGGACCAGGATCTCTCTCTTATAGCGACGGTGAAGAAGGAAGTAAAATACTTTAAATGTTTTCATTGTCGTCACTGACATCACGTGACACTGCCTGGAATGTGAACCCATGCCCCTAGGTGCACAAACAGTAGCCTCGTACACACCTTGACATTTAAAGAAATGAGTGATCTTGTTAATATAAATCGGTGAGGCTCAGCTGATGTGGCTCATTCGTGCAATCAGTGTCGAGAGATACACTCATCCTTCTACAGCAAGTTGTTGGCAATATGTTATCTCCCTCGCCCGGTATACAGGAGGTCGTGGGTTTAATCCCGACCCTGACGCCTGCTTAAATATTTAAAGTTGACGTCTTTCTCTCTCTCCGTGGTCGCGTTAATTTTTCTCCGAGTCCTCCGATTTTCCCTCCACATTTACAATCAACATCACCTAGTTAGATTAGTTAGCTGCAATACATTTTCACATGATAAGCCATCATTTGTGGCCAGGTGGTTTCTGAAACATTGCTCAGTGACCCTTACCTGAAAATATAAAAATAGTTGATATAGTTGTAGATATCTGATGATGTCCTGTAACTCCATCTCAGTGTAATTACCCCAACGTGACGAGTTTCTTGAATGTCATCGTGGCATCCAAGGTGGGATTTGTCTGTAGCCTCCAGTGACCCATCCTTGAATCTGAGCCTTTTGCTAGCAGTGTGAATCTATCACCAACTCTACCTGCCTCCATCACCCACTGTTGGCGATGTCACCGTCTCTCAATCTCACCTTGTCCGAGACTGCAGATCCCCGTGCCGACCAATCACAGCCGCACCCACTGCTTACTTCACCTGCGTTGTTGTTTCACATTCACACGCACGGCTACTCAACACGCATGCACACGCAGCAACACAGATGGGAATCAGAGTTCCACATGATTGTAAAAGATATAATACCCAAAAAAATAAACTATGTTTTTTTTTTATTTTACCAGGTGTAATGCCCCACTGAGCTATTAGCTTATTTTTCAGAAGCGACCTGCCCATCCCAAATGACAGCGCAACAAAGTGGCTCATCATGTTTGAAATGCATAGCAGCCATATAATCTAAATACTGCACTCTAAACGCTACTTGAACCAGGGAGACGCTCTCTTGGGCTCTGCGGGTTGTTCACAGCAGATAACGAATGCCTTGGACTCTACACCCCAGTCGGACTCGTGGGAAAATCCGACATAGATTGCGCATGACACACGGCCTGGACTCATCCACTATACTTACTAACGGATAAACACGCAGAACTGCGTTTGAAAGCTTCCTTCTACAAGGTCACTAATGCGAGTGAAAGGGGTTCCAACGATGTCCACGGCTCATTCCTCAGTGCAGCAACAGCGACGGCTCAGTGCTCAGTGAAGCGCAGTGGCTCCAGGCCAGGCAGGCAGCGCGATCCGCCGCGTATTTTGTAGCTAACAAATCCTCGCAGCGTCCAGGGAGAGCCGCTTAAGTGAGGGCTCAGAACACCTCGGGTACCAAGCAGCCCACACCCGGCTACGCATTCAGTTACACACACACTCACACACTCACTCACACACACAACAACAACCGCCATTCGCCACTAAGTGGCGGTGACGTCACCACGACGCTTGTGCCAGGCCACTCACACACACACTCATTCACACACTCACTCACACACGGGCCTACGGTCTCTCTCTCTAACTCACCACTTGTATAAAGCCGTTTGTGGACTCCCGTACATGAATCTGCGTGTTTCTAGTCCAGGGGTGGGCAAACTTTTTCACTCGCGGTCCACAATGGGTTCTAAAATTTGACAGAGGGGCCGGGCCAGGAACAGATGGATGGAGTGTTTGTGTGAACTAATATAAATGACATGTAAAAATCATTACATGAAAGGATTTGGCCTTTAACAGGTAGCAAAGCATTTATTTGCAAGGAAATTTTACAAATTGCACGAACATGAACAATACAAAAACATGTCGTAACGTGACTGATGAAACATCATGAAAACATCTGAGGCCTGCGCCCAAACCAATTACCTCACTAGAACTTCTTAAGTATCTACATTAACAGGTTAGAGCAGCCACGCAGGCTGTGTGATGGAGATTTGGCTCTAACCTCGCTGCAGCAACACATAATCACTTTCAGTGGGAACAGTGTTGTTGATCTCCCATTTTTGCCAGTGCATCCAAGTCTGGAGTTATTTTGGTTGTGGCAATTCTCAGGATAGATCTGAGGTGCTAATCCGTTAACTTTGATCTGTGACGGGCTTTGTTGGCGTTCATGATGCTGAATGTCTGCTCACACACATAAGTCGAGCCAAACAAAGTCAGTATCTTCTGTGCAGTCCTCCGGAGGTTTGGAAACGTGGCTCTGTTAAGTGAAGCATAAAAGTCATTCAGTTTAACAGAGTTGAACTTCTCCTTTAGGACGGAGTCAGACTGAAGATCTATCAGTTCCAACTGCAGCTCCTGTGGTGCTGTTTCAGGGTCTTGTGACAGGGGACAGGACACCAGCTGAAGTGACTGTTCAATGTTTTCGAAATCAGAGAACCTATGGCAGAATTCTCCGTGCAGGTCCTCAAGTGATTTGCTGTATTTTTTGGCGTTTCGCGGTGCCTCTTCCTGCTTGGCAAGTGTGGGGAAATGAGCGAAAGATTTGTTCGCAATTTGTTCGGAGAACAAAGTGAGCTTGGATTTGAAGGTTTTCACATGTCTGTACATGTCGTGAACAAACTGATCTTTCCCCTGCAGTTTCACATTCAGCTCATTCATGTGTGAAAATATGTCCACAGCAAACGCAAAGTCACTAAGCCAGTTCTTGTCGCTTAGCTCAGGGAATTCGTCAGATTTCCCCATCAACTCCAAAAATGCGATGATGTCCTCTTTCAGCTCCCAGACTCGTTGTAACACTTTCCCCAAACTTAACCAGCGGACACGAGAGTGGTACAGCAAGTCCTGATGATCCGCATCAGTTTCCTCCAGGAACGTAATACACTGACGGTGCTGAAGTCCCCTTGCTCGTTTAAAGTTCACAAGTTTTACGACTGGATTCACGACAAGATTAAGCTGCAATTCAGACTTACACAGGGATTCCTGATGGATGATGCAGTGAAGGAAAAAAAGATCCTGGACAGGGTTTTCCTCTTTCACTTCATCCTGGATTCTTTTCAGCAGCCCAACATTTTTTCCAGTTAAATTTGGCGATCCATCCGTTGTGACATTGACACGTTTAATCCGAGGTAGCGTCATTCTTTCGATGACAGCAGATACCTGGTTATAAAAGTCCTCTCCCCGCGTTGTTCCTTTCAGGGACTCCATGGTCAAAAACTCCTCTGTTATCGAAAAACTGTCGTCAATGCCTCGGATGAAAATGAGGAGCTGAGCAGTGTATTTTACGTCCGTACTTTCATCCAGTGCTAGTGAATATAATTCAACGGAATCAGACTTTTTGTTTAATTGACTGGCTATATTTTTATCAATGAGTTCCACACGGCGAGTCACAGTCCTGTGTGATAAACTGACTTTTTGAAATTTGCTTTTGATCTCCGGACACAAGATGTCTGCTGTCTGTACCATGTATTCTTTTACAAACTTGCCTTCGGAGAAAAGTGGTAATGAGTGGTAATGTTAGTGAGAAGAAGTTTTTAAAGAAAATTTCAATCGAAGTGAAGAAGGAAATTATTGAAAAGTTTGAATAATTAATGATTTTTCAAACTTTAATTATGTTTTCTGTGCTTAAAACTCTTAAAAAAAACTGTGGGGTCTAGAACGGACTTGTGAAATTCGGAGAGAACTCGGAGTTAAGTTTTGTTTGTTTTGTTGAATTACACAAAGTGCGCCATCTAATTGGGAAATGGGGGCATTACAGGAGGAAGGTAAATTTAATTTAATAATAATAATTGGACAAGTTCGGCGGGCAGGATTAAAAAGCCCAACGGGCCGTATACGCTCCGCGGGCCGTACTTTGCCCATGTCTGTGTTAGAGTATAAAGTCCATATATAACAATCGACAAAACTCATACAAGTCAGTCTTGCAGAGGCAAACTCTGGGGTATGGTCCTCGAAATCAACCATAAGTGACGAGTATTACAGAGGCAAAGGCTCTGTGTTGCTAAGTGTTGAGTTCTGTACTGACAAATTCTAAGTATTGCATAAAGTTTTATTCTACGTTTTCCTAAATGTTTCGAGTCACTTGCAGAGTCAAGGACTTCGAGAAGTTGTACTGTATTAAGTTAAGAGTTGTGAGAAGCTTAGAGGTGTGCGAATGCATTTTCATATAATACTGTGATCAACTAAGACGTGTAAGAAGTTAAGTGGAGATTTGAGTTATACACCAATATCGAGAATGCATGAAATGTTGTCCAATCTTTAGGCTGGCAAAGTTACGTTGTCTAAGTGACTGATACTCTGATGATGAGAGTGTTGATGAGTTCTGGAGAGAGCGAGGAGCAGTGATACAACGGCGTACAGCAGGAGAAATATGAACTGTATAATCACTCACTATTTGTAACTATACCTTGTACAGGTTGTGGGCCAAGAAGAATCTCAGCTTGCACGCCTCACACACCACAACAATGGCATTGTGTATGGTCGTGTTACCATGAGACAGCCTATTGTTTAATTTCAATCACGTGATTGTGAGATTCGATCGTTGATGTACTTCTAACCAATTTATAAGCATTTATTTATTAACCCACATGCCTGCGTGAACACGATAATTTTGATATTAGCGGTTTGTTTTCTTTCAATCGTACAATCTTTCAAATCTGATCGTTGATGCCTTCTAAACTTTTAATAAGAATACGAATGTTTGTGAACACGTATGCTGATATTGATACTGTTGTTGTGGGTTAGCCTGTAAGTATTGTTTGATCACGTGATCGTGAGATTCGAATGTTGATGCTTCTAGCCATTTAATACGCGTATTTTCAGACACGCATTCTGTACGAATATTGCTATTTTTGGGTCTGCCTATTGTTATCACGTAATCGTGAATGTTAGCCAATACTTTTTTTCATTCA